TGAGGATGGGCGGTGTGTGTGTGTGTGTGTGGGGATGTTTGAATGCTTTGCATTCAGCCATCTGGATGACATCCAGGTTATTGAGGCCAGGCCGCCCAGGTTTGGAACTGGATGGCCATTTTTGTCCTTTCAGCAAATATTCCATTGTGTGCTTCTTCCTAGGAATGGACAGACTCTCCAGTCAGCAGCTGTCTGTGGCTGCACATTGCAGAGGAGATTGAGTTATGATGAGCAAACTGCCTTCTAAGGAGCCTGTCCTTATTGTTGCAGATTCCCTGAAAAGCTGTTGAGGAACCCCAGTGTATCTCAGAACAGAGATGGAAAGCAGCCCTGCAAATTTTTGAAAAATCTTTTTTTTTAAAATAACTTTATTAAATTTTAAAATAGAAACAGTAAAAACAAACAAAAAACTAATATTAAAAATAAGAAAAAGGAAGGAAAGTTAGGAAAAAAAAAAAGAATGACCAAGGTCAAAAGTGTGAAAAAACGAAGAAAAAGAAAGAAAAAGAATTGACTTCCAACCCTCCTCACAACAGATAAAAGTAAAAGTATACATCGATTTCTTGCACTAAGTTTACAATATAACTTTCATTATTCCTATAAACCTATATTATTTCTAATAATCAAATCCATACAACATAATTTCATTTTTTTCCTGTTTCCCACAGAAAGTCCAAAAAAAGTTTCCAATTAACATTAAAATTACACAATGTCTTTTCTCAAATCAAACATCACTTTCACCATCTCAGCCAACTCCATCAACCTCACTATCCATTCTTCTATTGTAGGTAATGTCGTATCCTTCCACCTTTGTACGTATAAAAACTTTACTGCTGTTATCGTATTTAAGAACAAAATCGCATAAATTTACTAACAAATGTATTTTAACCTTAGTAAAAAATAAATCCATTTTATAATCCAATATATCATTTTATCTTAAAAAAAAAAAGGCAAATGAAATCTCTCCCCCTTTATACACAGATCCTTAAAACTTCATCATTCAATCCTGGTCACAAAAAAATCCCATTAGTAAGTACCAAAAACCTCAACATATATATTAACCATAATCAAATAAATTCACTTTGTAAACCTCCTGTTTACTTTTAAAAAGCTTAATCTTTATAAGCCTTTCAAATAATGTCCCACAAGTAGATTCCCCATCATTCTCTCCTTGTCTTCTCCCAGAAACAGGCCCAATAATTTCTCTTTCTCTTCCCAGGAACAGCCTCAACGGTTCAACAGATTCCTTTTGCAAATCCAAGATAAAAATCTTTCCAAGCAACTCTCCTTTTCCATTCTTCTGTCCCTGTTGATCATTGTGATATCAGTTGCTTTCATTTGTGAATCCATTCTGGCATCCTTTTCCATATCACTCTTATCCTTTGGCATTTTTAAATCCATTTTTGAATCCACAGCATCTTTGTTCATACCACCTTCATAATCCAGCATTTTTTAAAACTCCAAATCCACTTTCAAATCAGTCTCCACTTTCATTTCAAAATTAACCATCTTATCCAATCTTTCCTCTATCTTTTTTTCAAGGTTTTTATCTTCTAATGGCTGCTCCAAAGGGCCTCTTCTAGCCATTTCTCCCCCCCGCCCCACAAAGCAAGCAACCGTAGGTATTGTATAAATGAAAGTAAGCAGATAGTTCATGCTCTCTGGTGCCTTTCATGCTGTAATTGCAGGCAAACACCTGAAAAAATACACAGAGGGCTCAAATTACTATCTTCTTCTGTTTTGAGAAGCCAGCCAATTGACCAGCATATCACAGGGAAAAAAAAACCTTCCATGGAAAAATCAAATCCAATTAATACCGATGGAGTTTTGTAAAATTAAACTTTTAACAATAAATCTTCCCCTTTCACCATAAGTAATTTTAATATATTTTTTGTATTCTCCTTCCAGCTTTTTGCGAATTGTTCAAATTACAATAAAACTAATTCTTCTTTTAAAGTTATAGTCCCAGAAAGAATGAAAAAACACCAAGAGATCTGTTGCAAAGAAATCTCTTCAGCATCTCTTATGCTGAAAAAATAGTTATATTCCAAAGTGGTTTAGAAATAGGGTTCGGACCGCTCTCGTGTCCGTACTTAGGCTGCATCACAGCTGTGAATGAAGATGGATCCCCCACTCCCAGCCGCTCGCTCACAAGCCATTCGCAGAAGCTTCTGTTTCTGGGATTAGTTTATGAGGAACGGCTGTCCCGGAGATTGAACTGAGTTGATTTCTCGCTTCCTCCTTAATCCGGAGCAAGTTGGACGGCCAGTGCTTGCTGCCAGCCATGAATCCAGCTGCAGTGCCATCTCCCCTCTCAAGGAGACGACTAAGCTGCCATTGTCCCCACCGGAAGTCCCTAATTTTTGAAAAATTCAATCAAGCTCCAAGCTTTAAATATTTTTAAAGCTTAATGTTGCAGTTCCATTCACATCTTACTTTTGGTTTTACTGTAGGTGAAGAATGCCATTTACTTTTCGGTTCTTTTACTGTTTTTGCTCTTCTCCTAATGGCTTCCCAATTTCTGAAGCTCCTGCTTTTCTCTTATCTTTAGCTTTCCTCTAAATTTCTTCTGTGTCTATTTTATTGCTTTAAAAAAGAGAGAGATGGTAACAAGCAAAAAAAAAAAAAAAAACACAAGGAAAGAAACACAGAATTAGGGAATTTACAGTATCTTCTGAATTTTACAGTATCCCCATAATCCCTGGCCATGCTGGTTAACATTTCATTCATTCATTTAGTCATTCAATCATTCATTCAGTTTATATGACTGCCCACTCCCTAGGTAACTTTGGTGGGTAACAAGGATTAAAAAGCACATATACAAAGGAACATTAAAAAAAACATAATAAAATAAAGCATACTTCACTGGGGGCCAGACCCGCAATCCATATAATAACAGTTGGGCTAGTGCCTAGAGCGTGCCTGTTGGATCGTACAGTAGTAAAAAATATATGGAGTTGTCAACCTGGGAAAGACTACTTTAGAGATGAATTGGTGTACCTCCCCCAGATAACTTTGAAGTTTTGGTATGAGTGGCTTCTAATAGATTGATTATATTTAGTGTTCAGAGCTGTTTTGTTGTGGTTTTAAAAGTTGGTTTTCCTCCTTAGTTGCATTATTAATTTCTTTTGTTACATATAAATCCTGCCTTTTTTCCCCAGGAAGCTGAAGACAGTTTATCTAACAGTCTTCATATGCTTATTTACCTTTTTTTTTCCAATATGGAGTGGAAGGAGGTCAACAATCTCTACAACAGTCCTTTACCTTGGCTAGACCACAATCCCCAACTTGGGCCTAGAGAACGCACTGGGAATTTGAGAGCATATTATGGGCACTCTCACATAATTCCCATTTTAGTAGATGTGGCCAGTTATAACCACCTATATACCAAAAGGAATGGGCTGCAGCCATCCATCTTCTGATTTACTAAAAATGCCTCTGGCACCTACATGGGTCTCAGAGGCATTGTTGGCAATGCAAGTTATGTTGAAGCAGGTGCTTCATTTTGCAGCATGCAAGATTGCCATTCATTTTTTTAAAATTAAGAATGAAATTTGGTATGGCAGGGACCTTGCTGTGTGCCAAGGAACATATTGGTTGGCATATTATTACAAATCTGTGCCACCATATTGGAGCCCCAGGGACTGAACAGAAAGTTAATGACTTGTCAGTGACCACAAAAGGCCATGTTTCCTACCTGGAATTTGTGTTTTATCTAAAAATCCTTCAGTCAATGTCTCTCCTAAATCTGCTTCTGAAAGGAGTATTGGCATCTTTGTTGGTCTGCTTTAATCAGGCTAGCACATGGGGGATGTAACAAAGGCTGCAAATGAAAAAGGCTGGGCTCAGAAGAGATTGGCAGCCTCATAGTTCTTTGCCTTAACACTCAGTGAGTTTAAGTCTTGGTTTGTTGCATCTGAATTCAGCACAGCAGTCGCTGTGTCATACTGGCTTTTGATTTTAAGTATTTGTTCCCTAATCTGGTAATGGGGCTTTTTATTCAAGATAAAGAAATAAAATCAATTTTGTTATTCTCTAAGGTGGAGGGCTGCATGCTTACCTGGTATTGTCCCTTGTAAGTAAAGCGGAAGAGGAAGTGTATAAAATAAATGACAAGCTATTTGGCCTTGTCTGTAGAATTGGCTTGGGGTCTCAGTCTTTATTAAATTCTTCCAAAAATGTGATAGATTAATAATACAGAACAAGGAATCTTTGGAGTTTAGCTAGATAAAATGTTAGTTATGATAGTTTCTGTCTTCAACCGTGTAGTCCATCCCCTTGCTGTTTGGCAATTAGATATACAGTACGTTCTGCAGATATCTTGTATGTCTAAGGACCCAGATCGTTCCTTGGTTGAACCATTCTCTTCCATTTTTAATTAGTTTAACATGGTTAGTTAAGCTTATTATCTGTTCATCAGCTGCCCTACTGTTTTTCATCATGGCTCTTATAAGTTGATGGAGAGAGGAAGTGGAATCCAAGTCCAGAAGTAAGAGAAAATGAAATCAGGACACTGCTAAGAGTTCATGTGCTTTTGTTTTGTACTTTATTAAAAGGAAATTACAGGTAATCCCCAGGTTAAGAACGTCCGGGCTACAGAGAACTCATAGTTAAGAACGGAGCCTATTGTAGCAAAATTTGAGTTAAATACACAGTGATTTCAGTTAAATACACAATGGTTCGAGTTCATTACACAATACTACTTATATAGTATTACAGAGTAATACTGTTCTGACTTACATACAAATTCGACTTAAGGACAGACCTTGGGAAAGGAACTTGCTCTTTAACTGGGGTCTACCAGTAATGCGTTTTAATGCCCACATACATCTTATTGGCATCTTTCTCTTTTTCTCAAGTAAGTAATATTCTCTTTGAAGCAAACTGAAGCAGAAAGTTGTCTGACTTGAATGCAGAGTTTACACCAACTCTCTAGGAAGTGCCGAGAGTCCTTTCCATGTTAGACTGATTTTTAATGGAAATTGTCCTTATCCCTGCAGGGATTCCTAAAAAATGAAAAGGATAATGCTTTGCTGTCTGCCATTGAAGAGTCCAGGAAAAGGGTAAGTATTGAAAGTAATGTAAAATAATACTGAAATTGATGTCTGTTAGGACAAAGAAGGGAAAACATCAGGCTTGCAATATAACTTTCTTTTTTTGGAGGAGCCAGTGACCAATCAGTTGAAATCAGACTCAAATTGACTTGGGCTAAGAACTAGGAATGTGCATCCCAGGTATTTTGAGCATTGCTGGAACTAAGTTCTTTCATACAAAAGGTCCCTTTGGGGCTTTCTCCCAAGCATCATTTTTCGGATCTTATTTGGGAATTAGGTGTATTTTTTGCAGAGGGGAGTCAGAAGTGCTTGTTGATTTCCAGCAAATCACCCAGATATTTTCCAGTGTTTTTCAGTTGGCTTCTGTCTAATCCTATATTAGATATTTTTTGGAGGGGTGGCACGCAGGATCTCATATATTTTTCTCACAGCGTATTACAGAATTTTATAAAATGGCTGCACTCTGGCTATGCCATCCTATACAGCAGAGATGAGTTGAATGTTGATTTAGGTGTCTTGTAAATCTTTGGATGATTTGAAGTAAATCAGCAGGGATTTTGATAGTTCATTATCGATAATGATTTAAAAACCACAGCAGAAAATGAACTTCCTTTCAATGTAAGATTGTAACGCTGAAATGTAGAAAGCTTGTGGTTGCCCAGGGAATGGAAATTTGTACAGAATGATTAGGAGGGCTGCTTAAATCTGCTATTCAAAGTACATTTCAGAGTTCAGAATCTTTTGCTTCTATTTGGTAGATCTTCAGGTTCTAATAAACCTTGATCTCACAAGCTTGAAGTCTTTGTGCTGTTCCTCCACAGCACCCTCTAAGGGGGTTTGGAACACAACAGAGCCTCCCAGCTTGCTGGAGATCTGTAAGAGGCCTTCCAGTGAAGTTAAATCACCAGAAGAGGCGGGGATGAAAATTTTGGAAAGGAGTTAAGGCAGAGGGAGCATTTCCTCCTTTCTGGGGGGGGGGGGGGGGGGGAAGAAATTGAGCTTTCTTTTAAATTAATTTTTGTTCCCTAGAACCCTTCTTCCAGCCCCTAGAAATCTAATTTGCTGTCCTATTTTACCTCACAGTTTCTGCAAAATTTGCCCACGTGCTTCAAGCATATCTTTGGGGTCATAATTATCAGAAATGTACCCTCCCAACACTCTCTTTATGGATAAAGCAGGTTTAAGCAAAGAGTTACAGTCAGTATGGAGTATATCAAGGTGGTATAGGTGTTAAGGTGTTAGGATTTGGGAGACCCAGATTCAAGTTCCTCCTCAGTCATGGAAATTTCCTGTATGCTTTGGGCTTATCACTGTCTCTCTGCCCAGCCTACTCCACAGGGTTGGGCTCCACAGGTTTGTGGGATAAGATGAGGAGAAATCCCGAGATAAGATTTCCTGAACTATTGGAGAAAAGGCAAGATCTAAAGTTATCAAAGCAGGATCTAGCAAATTAATCTGCTTTTCAAGAATGAAATGGCATTTAGCCCATAGTGAATTCAAATGGCCCTTCAAACTGTTGATTTATAATTATAAGAACAATCACTTGAAGAGGAAAAACAGATATAGTCATCAGTGAAAGTGTAGTAATAAAATTGAGAGGAAGAATATTAAATACCTATTTCAGTGGATTACATGCTTGTGGATGATCTCTCTGAATTGTCATGGATGTTTTCTGAATTCCTATTTAGTATTATAGTGCAGCTGGCAATCTCTATGCACAGTTTTCCCCGAGCTGGTGTTCCCCAGGATCAGTTAGGACTACAGTTCTCAAAATTCAAATTCTCAGAGTTTTAGCTTCAGCACATCTGGAGCTGGCTCTGAGAACATGTGTTCTCTGGTATGCATGCTGAGAACATCAGGAGTCTTATCGGCAGCAGGAAGTCTGCACCTTCCCCACTGAAAAAGTAACATGGCGGTGGTGATGAATTTGGGCTCTGAGGACTTATTCTGCATGTTGCATCTCAATGTCAGTGATTTGTGGCTCTTTCAAATAGAAGTCAAATTCATGTACCTTGATGTGTGTATATTAGGCAACATACATATGCTTATATATGAGTGAAATTATGCCGGCAAAGTGATTTATGACCAAGACTAAAGTTACAAAGGATATAAGGTTTTATGATGAACAGAAAGGGAAAATGGATTCAATCGCAAACTGTTTTTCAATTTACTATGAATTTTCAAAAAGATACTAGGTGCCTAAGCCTCACTTCAATCCTAAATTTGGGTTTCAACAAAAAAAATGTACACCCTTCACTGAAAACATAATGAACACGTTGGATTGAATGGTATTTAGTCAATAGTAAAAGGCAACATTTAGAAAAGAGATAATGTTGTTTGGAAGAAATGATGTTGGACAATATTTTGTTCCTTTATTTTTTATAGTATCTGCATAGAGGTCTTTCATTATTTACATAATTATTAAATGCCTAAAATCAGATAAAGAATGCAATATAAGTCACATTACAGTGGCAGCTTAGATATATCAAATCTGAAACGTAATATTGATTCTTTTTCATTCAAAATAATTAATTCGTAATATTTGGAATGCAAAAGACATCCAATAGGTGTAAGTTGAGTAAAAGACACTTTGTTAGGGCAACCTGATTCTTCTTTGATATTAAGAAATTACATTTAAAATAGGTTTGGAAGAAAGATATAAATACATCCTGGTCCTGCCTTTCCTCCTTTTTCCCATTCCTTGATCACCCAACTTCTAAATATAGGGAGAAATCAGGTCACTTTGAAGACTTTCTAGGATTATAGACTTGATTATTCATGGGAATGGGCTAAATTAGAAATTAAAAAAAAAAATCTAGAAGACAATGTCAAATGACTACTGTATTGTTGCCAAAACAAAAACAAAAGCAAAAAACCCCCAAATAATCAAATCTGCATGAAAATTGGCCACAGATTCCAAGTTGGTTTCAAATGAGGCAAGTACAAATAGTTTCTTAAACTCATGGGATTTTCCCAATCAATAGTATTAAGTGTTTGAAAAAATGTATATATTCAGAGGACTCAGTCTCATATACCAAGTACTTCAAGAAGTTTAGGGAGAGGATTTGCTCAATCTACTTGGAGCTCTGCATAGTGTAACGTACTTTTTAAAACTGTAGGCAAGTAATCAAGAATTAACTATAAACATAATTCATAAAAGATACTGTACCTCTCAAAATTGCCTTATATTAATCAACATCTTTCTGTATTATTTTGGAAAGGCTGATTATTTCAGTTGGTACATCTAATCATCACTGAAAACTTTCCAAGTTTATAGGGAAAATAATTGGGACACCACCTTGTTTAAAAACAAGTGAATGGAACTTCTGATCTGTTATGGATGATTCTATACATCAGAGAAGAATGAGTGTTTTTGTGGAAATTAGAATATTGGTTTCATTCAGTTCACTTGCTTTACATGAAATGAGCAAGGGTTCAACCTACCTTTTTCAGCGTAAAGGATTAGGCAGTCAATTATAGGAAAGACCATCTGAGCCCCTGAGGAGCTGATAACTGAGAGATAACTGAAGTGCAATAAATGAGCATAGGCATTTGGCAGTTTAAAACAGGGCTAGATGCTCCATACTTGCTCATGGTGTATTTTTTCACCCCACAGAACTTATTGATCTTCCCTTTGTCTCTCCAGCCCATCAATTCCCAAAAGTATTTATAGTACCCCACTTTGGATTTCCTAAATCAATTAAATATGGTTTTTAAGATAATGAATAAATTATGGGTGAAAACCATATTTAGTGTAATTTTACTTTCAGTGGTTTTAAAGTTTGATAGTGTTAGAGCCCAAGAGCCTTGCTTACTGGGAATCATCTTAATCCTAGAAAGTTTGGGGGAAATTTGTTTAGAATCTGCTGCAATGCCTGCAGTTCTAATTTACAGAGAAATGAGATGGAAGTCCAAGATGATAATTGTGTTGGTGCAGTGGAGATGCAGGGGGCAGAGGAACTTTCTTTATGCTGCATTGGAACATTGCTCCATCTGTTCTGACAGCCAGTGACTCTTGGAATTAAGGAGAAGATAAGCACATTTGGGAAGCTGGATTGGGACATTTTAGCCAGGGCAGATTATTCTTCTCATTCTTCAGCAGATGATAACAGATATATTTTATAGCCTCTTTGTAATAGGATGATGGTTTGGCCTTTTTCTATCAATTTCTCCTAGACCTTTGCTATGGCAGAAGAGTATCATCGAGAATCAATGCTGGTCGAGTGGGAACAGGTGAAGCAACGGATCCTTCATACACTGCTGGCTTCTGGAGAAGACACTCTGGATTTCACGCAGGAAAACGAGGTATCTTTTGGAGTCTGGAGCAGTTCACATTCTTAAAATTATTGGCTTGAATTAACTAGCTATTTGTTGGACTTCAAGATTTTGTTTGCTTGTTTGTTTTTAGCAATTTTGTAATTTGCAAGCTTTGTTATCCTCTCTGTAATAAAATAATTAAATTACTTATTCTCTAAGCAGCTCAGAATTCTTCATCAAGAAAAGCTGAATTCCGCCACTGCTAACACTGAACATCTTTTTCTTGATTTATTCTGCATTTTTTCTTATTTTTATGTGGCCTGGGTTTGGCCTGAGAGAAGCCAGTAAAACTACTTCCCAGCTTCTGAATCTTTTATTCTCTATTACTTCTCTGCCCCTACAGTTCTAAAAGATCTTTATATCCATTGCTCCTACAAATTTATTCTTTTAAAAAAATAAGTACTTATCCTCTGGCTTGCACAGAATCACAGCATACATATCCCTAGTTATAGTTTTTTTTTAAAGCACTGATTCCCCTATCTCCACTTTCTTTTTAAAATGCTCTTCATTAGAAACGTTTATAGAACCCTGAATTTCCTTTTCTGTTTGCTTGTGTGAATTGGCTAGGGGTCTTATACTGCAAATTGGAAATAATTGAACATCTCAGGGAGATGCTGGGATTTGTCCCCTTCCTTCAAGTCTGTTCTAATCATGGAAACATTTTCTTTATGGAAGTGCTTCGCTCTTGGAAGTTGTTCTGCTGACAACTCACTGTATAGCCTCAGCAATCTTCCACGTTTTTTCAGTAATGGGAATGTAGATGAAATGGTGCTGGAAAGTAGGTATGATCACTTGCTGCTCTGCAGTGGCTGAGCTTAATGGACTTGGCAAGCTATTTTGGAAAGCTTTCAGTTACTTCTGCGGGTTATATGAACTTAACCTTCCTTTCAACCATACAGTTCTGAGATTTGTTCTGAACTGGTCACTTGTAACTTGTCCTTGATGGCCAAATATTAAAAGGTCCGTTTGTATTTGTAGGGGTTGCAGAATCTCAGAGAAAGGGGGAAAATACCATTGAGAAAGCCTCTGTTACACTCCACAAATGATTAAGATTGAAACACGATCTGTCATTCTGTTCTGTTTTACTCTCATGTTATGCCTGGCATGATCTAAGTGTATTGCCATAAGAGCATCAGAAACCCTTGATAGGCTGTTCTGTTCTCAGCTTCAGAGTCAAAGGCCCGGGAGGTTTGAAGTGCATCTGCGGTGTTAAAAGCCAGTTGTTTAATGCAGATTGCACTTATACCCTTTTTGAGCAAAAATGTCTGTGTGAGAGACAGATGCTTATCCTTCAAATATAATAGGGTTTTAATTGATACCTTTATTTGGAGAATCAGATGAAAGGCACAGATCCAAATGCAGCAGGAGGCAGGTCAGCAAAAGAACCAATTTACAAGTTTTGGACTGGTTAAAAAAAAAAAACAACCCACACGTTACACTTAAATAAAATCAATTACCAGGACAATCTTTGTAGTTCAAAGAAGGCAGCCTACAGATCCCGTCTCCTTTGATGTTTGTACAGCTCACTAAACTGAAGGGCGTGCTAGCTGGATAAAAGGAAAAATATCAGAGACTCAGTTTAGCTTAATTGTGTAGTCCAAGAACACACAGATCAAGAATCTACCTCTGGGATCCACTTGTTTGTCTCACCTTCCTCCAGTCATCTTTTCCCTTTTCTATCTTTTTTGTAATAAAGCACAGCCACGATCTATCCTGTTTCAACAGCAGCTGAGGAGCAACATCGTTCTACTATGGTCTCCCTAAAAGATGGTGTCTCCCATCTTCCTGCCTCTTTTGAGTGTGTTCAGCACAGAGGCTGGGCAAAAGCAGCAAGGGCGGGCTTGGCAGTGTGGTTTCCACTCATTTCCTAAAACTTGCAGTGGATGGATAGCCATGCCCACTTGGCGAGGCTTTGGCTGTGGAAAGCTTGTGTGAATAATGCATGTTTTGGTGCTTGCGGTTTGCAGCAGGTGAAGCTAAATAAAGGAGAGGGAGATGCATTCAGATTGGTGACTTTTTCTGTTGCAGAATTGTCCCTCAGTTTGCAGTGGAAAAGCCAATCAGGGCAAAATAGCTTGTCACAAAAATTTCTCGTTTCTAAACTCATTTGACTATATTTCAGGCTCTAAAGATTTATTGAATGCTGCAACAATTGTTACTCATGCAAAATCAAATGGAAGGATATTTTTGCTGTGCTGCAATCGTTTGCCGTTTGTGCCTCTAACAGATCGATACAAGGCTGGGGCGTGCTTTTGTTCTTCACGTTGAGGTGTTAGTGCCGTGTTTCATCTGGTTTGTGCTCAGTCATGGCGCATTGCTTAAGCACAGTACAGCATCTGAGGTGGGCACCTGTGTGACTTAGTGGAAGCAGCTTCCCAGCGCTTTTTCAATAGAATTGAAAGTCCTCTGCAATTTGGCTTCTTTTCATTTGGTTTTCCCTGAGCGTCAATCTGCAGTTCCTGAAACCAAACATGTATTTTGCCAGGATTGTGCTGCAGCTGTGGAGGGCAAACACGTGATCCTGGGAAAAGACACAGATGCTTTAAGAATGCGCAAACAGGTGCTATGTGAGCGCCCCTATGTGCCCCAAAGCACCATTTTGCCTCAGTGCATTGCTCCAGTATTTTCTGCTTTTCGTTCTAATGAATTAGTGTCCTGTATTTTTTTTTCATCCTCAAAAACAGAAGCTATATTCAGTAAAGGCAACGTTCAATACAGTTTTTTTTAAAATTTGCATACTTTTTTTGGATCTGTGTACATAGATTTTTTTTTTAAGGAACAAATTTCTAGATGTGATGACATGAAAGTATGTTGGATTTGTATGGGCAGAGAAGTAAAATCTTAGAAGTTATAAAGAATAAAAAATTCGGAAGGCAGGGAAGCAGGATTTCTGGTTGGCCACTTCATAAGTACTGAAAACTGAAGACTGAATCATGTAAAGTAAGAAAAGTATGCATAATTTTACCAATTGCAAAACGCTTTTCTTAATTTGGAGATGCGTAGAGAATAAGTAAATGATATACTGTATGGACAGCATACATAAATCAGGGGATACACACATACATACAAACACATATACCTTTCAGAGATGCACCTGCTGCTGGGGAGTGAATGGGTGCAATTTTTGCTGCTTTTCTAGAAGGAGAATCAGCATTTACTTATGCTGTCATCAGGATTCTATATGGGATAATTTGGGCATTTTTTTTCACCATGGTTCTGACTCAGGATTCCTAGGGGAATGTGTTTCTTTCCTCCTGCCCACAGCTGGTTATGTCTGTAGCTTCCTTTAGCAGTTTTTACAGCAGCCCATAGTAGAGGCCAATAGCTATATGGGTGAGAAATGAGTTGCATTAATTCAGCCTTGCCCATCACTGTGCCCAATGGAAGGGTTGGATTTTGTAGGTCCCCAAATTGTGTACAGGTGATCCTTGTTTAACAACCACTTGTTCAGCGACCATTCAAACTTATAACAGTGCTGAACGAGTGGTAGCTACGACTGGTCCTTGAAGTTCCAGCCGTCACAGTGCCCTGCGGTCATGTGATTGCGATTTGTGATCTTCCATGCTGGCTTCCCACAAGCAAAGTCCCTGGGGAAGCTGGCAGGAAGTTGGAAGTTGCGGTCATGTGAGGTCCTTGTTTAACAACCTGCGTGGTCCTTATTTAACAATGGCAGCTGGAATGCTGTCATTAAGCGGCACAGTCATGTGGTTTTTTGACTTATGACAATGTTGCTTAATTATGGAGTTTCCAGCCCCAATTAGCGTTGTTAAATGAGGGCTACCTGTACTGGGGAAGACTGCATTCAAGAATGTGGTAATGCAGCAGTGTCTGATACAAGCCACAGTATGCCATGTGTGTCATGACATCACATAGGTGGTACATATTAATTTGCATCAAGTCACAGTCACGTGCACCATGACATTGTGCTGAAGATGCAGATTACATAATGTGTGTCATTTGCATGACGGCATCATGACATGCATGTCACTTACTTACTTCCCTGACCAAGAAACCCATGGGTGACCAGCCTGTTTTGTCTTCTCTCAACAGCCTAGTTACGTCAGTGAGTTGCCACCACCAGGTCGCAGTTCATTAGATAACACAGAGATGGCATATGCCCGACAAGTGAGTACCCCATCTTTGTTACCTGAATCTCCCACTTTAGCCAAGAGCGGTTTTAGGAATCCCTGGGGTTTTTCCTCCAACAAAGATCTTTAAAATCTGTGCCAATTTCAGATTTGTGCCAATTGTAGCATGTGTAAGGAAAGGAAAAGGCTTTGACTGCAGGGTTCGGGCCACCGCCTTGACTTTTTGTTTTTTTGCCCTCTCCCTCCAGTCATCCCACGCCTTGCTATAACAAAAACACTTGTGGCACCTTTTGCAAAATGAAATCATACATATGTCCAGTCATTTTAAAGATCTTAAGACACTGGTCTGAAGATCTAATTTCAGCTGGCCAGACTAAGCTGTGCAGATGACACATAGCATTCTAGAAGCCCCATTTTATTTGAGGCTATGTTCATTGTGGATCATCATCAGCTATGAACAGCCACTGTAAAATAATATGCTTGTGTGCTTAAGAGTATTTGGAATGTTGGACTCAGATCCACAGTCACCCACTGAAGTTTAATTCCAGTCACCTTAAGGATATAAAACCTGTGGGTTTTTTTCTGATTTAATAAAATAAAATGCATTTTGAGTAACAGTCCTTGTTGGGATAACTGCAGCAGGTTCTCCAAAATTTCCAGATCTCAGGGAAATTAAGGAACTCTTCATCAATACATCTGTATTATTTCTAGCAAGAAGTGTACTGATGACACATTGGGGATTCTCTTTATTTTACTGTACTGTATCCCACTTTCTATCTGGCCCTAGAGTTAAAACACATGTACAGATCCAAGAGTTTTGGACAACCACTTGAAACTTTGGACTGGGTTCACTGTCAGCCACAACTACTTCTTCTCTGTTGTCATTAGATCATCCATTCAAAGCAGCATGAAATGCATTCTCTTTGGAATGGATGTGGAGGGGCATACTTTCTCCTCCTATTCCCCTGAGCCATCTTAGCTACAAAATTCCCAAAATAGTGGAAGTGAAGAAATATGGGAAAGCTCCCTCAAGATCGTCCAGTGGATATCTAGATTGTCTTGCATTTAAGCAGTGTGTGTGGGGGTATTACGGGAAGGATGGAATTGAATTGCATTAATGGTATGGTGGAAATCTGCTCACTGTTGCTCTGTTTTAGATTTATATGTATAATGAGAAGATTGTGAATGGACATCTTCAGCCCAATTTGGTAGACCTTTGTACTGCTGTGACAGAATTGGATGATAAGGTATTATTTATGATTTAGCCTAAGAAATTATTCTGATTCTTTATTTAGTTTTGATTAGCAGTCTACCACTAAGGGCAAAGCTGGTTGGTTTTTAAATATAAATAAAGACCTGCAAAGCACATACCCTAGACCAAGATAAATGTATTCCATTTATTAAGCCCTTCAGTAGATCAAAGTTCATGACAAGTCTTTGTTGCTGGATCTAGTGAGCCACCATTCTTGTCCACATCTTCCCACAAGTTCCCTGTTCTGTGAAAATACACCACAGTCATTATGTGGAGCCATTTGAACCTTTCATCTCCTGCTCTCTATTACCTTTTCTGACAATTCGCACCCATATGGGTATGAATTCTGAATGTGAACTTGCTTTCAGGAAACCGTATATTTGTGTCTTATTCTGAGTATTTCCTGCACTAGGGAAACCCCATAAATGGGAGAGGCGTTAAAAAGAATTGGTAAGCTTTCTCTCAACTATTAACCTGTCAAATATTTTTCCAGGCACAGTCCTATACGTATGTCGCACACACAGCGCACATAAAAAACGCATAGAATTCCAATTGCACCATTGTGGCTGTCATGTTGACTTATTGAACATGCCCTGTGGATACCCCTTGCTACAAGAATTGCAGATCAGTGATAGGACTTCTTAATAGGGTGCCCCATTTCCACCCCCACCACCTAAATTCTTGAAGGACAAGAATGAAGCTAACTTGCTGATGGTTCAAATTTATAGTGTCTCTCTGACTTGCAAATATGAGGATGGTTAGCACTGTGGTTTTCAGTTACGTCTGTGCCTGCTCTGAAAATACTTTGGAGAAGGTGTTTTGGATTTCTCACAAGCTCTGTGCCTTTCTGCTACTCATTAAAGCAGCTGCTATTTTGCAGGTTTCCAGGTTAGCCTGAAAAGGCTTCAACTCATTAAAGCTATTGCAATTCAAGGGAGCCATGTGCACAGCCCTGGTTTTGGCCAGTGTGTATATATAATGGAGCCTAGCCATCACTAGCTCATATCTTTTAAATGCCATTTGGTATAGAGCTGTGTCTCAAGGTAGCTACTTCTCTCATCTTGACTCACTCTTGTTGCAGAACATTGCTGACTTGTGGGCCATGGTGAAACAAATGACTGATGTTCTGCTGGTTCCTGCAAGTGATGCACTGAAAATACGGACAAGCATGGAGGTGCAGATGGAGTTTGTAAGGCAGGCCTTACAATATCTTGAGCAAAGGTACGAGTCCTTAAATGGGGGGGAAAAAACCCAGGAAGCTGCCATTTGTCTGCCATGACATGATATCCATTCTTTCTTCAAGATCTGCCATCCTTTCTGACTATTCCTCTGACTGAGGCCTGGAAGGATTGATTACCTCTCTGAATAATTAAAATCATCCAAATCCCTTCTGAATTTCAAAAGGCAGTGCAGAAAGATGCATACCTTTGTTCCTATCTGTCCTCCACAAGTGGTGCTTTCAGAAATTAAAAGCTCAGGGAAACTTTAGAAATTCTTTGCCAGGGACCCAGTTTCAGCCGTCATTCATTCACCTCTTTCTGAGGTAGCATACAAATGTGCAAATGAAGTAAAAATCAAACAGCTAAAATTGGACGTTTAAGATGAAAATGACCTAGTCAGGAACAGTACAAAATTACACCACTGTATTTCAAATTCCAAAATGCCTTGCCAACATATGGGGTACGCTACCTTTTACTACACATTTCAGAGTACCCACAAATTGTAATCACTTTGGAGGAAGAGGTGCTGAAGTAACACAGTTGCTCAGCTGCCAGATTGGAGGTTAGGAGAAGCAGTGCTGAAGGCTGCTGAGAAGTGTCACATGGCTGAGCAGGACTCAGATAGACTGGGGAAAGGAAAGGATAGGAATGGAAATAACACTTGTAGTATTATTATTTTAAGAATTTCTGAGTTCTCTTTGAGCATATTTTGAGTGAAACCAGTAAATGGGCATACAGCTATCCTGACTGATCAGCCATGGCTGATTCCTTGCAGCTACAAGAACTACACTTTGATGACCGTCTTTGGAAATTTGCACCAAGCCCAGCTGGGTGGAGTACCTGGAACCTATCAGTTAGTCCGCAGTTTCTTGAACATCAAACTCCCAGTGTCTGTCCCAGGGCTCCAGGTAGGTGCCTCCAGGCCACCATGGTCCTGGCATCCTTGCTTTACTGTGCTTCCTTATTCACTTACCTGGGCAGAAATGCAGTTGTCAGGTGGAGAGTTTATAATGTTTGCAAATGTGCACTTTGTATTAGCTTTACAGACATTGCGAGGGGTGCTCTGTTCTTTTAAAAAGTTGCTGAAAATATTAATTGCAGTCTTAAGCTTTCTCCCCAGAAGATGCACTTACACAGCCTAAGATCATTAGAAGTGGATTGTTTTTAGACCTTGCACATATTTTTATGTATCATTTTGTTGTTTTTGGTTGTTATGTATATTGTCTTTGGTTTTGGTTTTAATCCTTGTTCGCTGCTTAGAGTCACTGTATTGTGAGATAAGCAGCTATATAAATGGTTTAAATGAATGAATAAGTAAGTAACTGTTACATCTTGATCACCACTTATCAAGCTGCTTGTGGAAGATCATTTCTGGGTCTAGGTGCCACATTTTAAACAGCACACCTATGAGATATAAGAGAAACCGCCTGGTATGTTTAAGCTGACAAGGGAGAAACTAAACATTTGATAGGCCCAATACATAAAGAATGTTACCTTGAAAAGATATCAGTTTTTTTCCTTGGTATCTTCAGAGAAAATCCTAGAATTAAATGGGTGGAAACCGCAAAGAACCAGATGTTGACTGAACATTCGGAGAACATTTCTAAGAATAACATTGGTTTGATGGTGGGGTTCTGTAAATTGCTTGGCAAGGTAGTGAATTTTTCTTCATTGGCAGAATGTAAGCAAATGCAGGGAAGATGCTGTATTGAGCAGGGATTTCTGCTATATAACCTCTAAGATTCTTCCCAGTGTGATGATTTGGTGATGAAAAACTGCATCAAGAAAAGATAATGGATGGTCCCTGGTGGTATCTTTTCATTCACATAAAGATATTTTCTGTAGCTAAGTCTTCCACAAATAAAAGAAGGGAGAGCCAGCGTTCACCAATTCCCTTCTGACCTGTATCATCCTCCATACCATTCTGAAGAATTCTCCATCTGTCTGGAGCACAAAGACATCAGTGTAAATGGAAATTTGCTAAAATGGCTCCCCGCATCTTTGGAAGCGCCTGATAGATGAAATTTGCATTCATGAATATGCAAAAATAATTTCTAAAAATATTTGCACATAGAAAAGCACCTTTTCAAAGAGACAGCCAGGATTTGAATTTCACCAAGCCTGTTTTTTTTTTTAAATTTGTCTGCAAGGCATATGTTTATACAGAGGAACATTCAGTCAATTGTATGTGCCACTTGCAGTTTAGGCATATGTTTCCCATCTCTAAATTTGAGGTCTTAGTTACAGTAACAAGTAAAATCTTCTCTGCACATTTGTCTGCTTCTGTTTTTTTAGGATGGGGAAGTGGAAGGTCATCCTGTTTGGGCGATCATTTACTATTGCATGCGATGTGGGGACTTAATGGCAGCAATGCAAGTCGTCAATCTAGCTCAGCACCAGCTGGGAGATTTTAAAACTTGGTTCCAGGAATACATGCACAGCAAAGACAAAAGGTACTTGGGTAATGCCCGAAGAGGCCAGGAAAAATTATGAGTGTCAGTGGGTGGCAGTAGGCAGGAGTAGTAATTCCACAGGATATCATGATTCTGCTTGGAAATTTAAACCCTGGGGATTTCTGCTCATCCTTTCATCAACTTGAAGAAAAGATAGCTTCAAGTTTTCAAGTTGCACACAAGAAGTTTGATAGCTTAAATTAATGATTCTGAAGCAGTTGAGGCTCTCAGAAGGTACATCCATTTGAAAATGCACTTTATTTTTACTTCAAATAGAATGTATCTGTTTTTAAAGTTAATCACTCTTTCTTAATGTAAAGCTACATTATTTTGGTGGGAAAGACTTTGGATCTGTTCTTTAAATCCATGAGATAACTCTGCTGGTTTACTGAAGTTGTATTATTGGTTCTGTTTTTGCAATATAAAGTACTGTGAACTACATGAGCAGTCGAGTTCAGTCAGCACGGGCATCATGAAAAGGTATCTCTGTTGCAGGGAATCTGCTTGGTTTGAGAGACCACATTTGCAGCGTGAGCAGCTGCTTTGAGGAGAAGAAAGCTCCAAATCTGGCTGTTTAAAGATGCTCAATTTCAGCTTCCCTTTTTTAAATTGTAGGCTTTCTCCTGTCACCGAGAACAAAGTTCGTCTTCATTACAGACGGGCTCTGAGAAACAACACCGACCCTTACAAAAGAGCCGTCTACTGCATTATAGGCCGATGTGATATTGCTGATAACCACAGTGAAGTTGCTGATAAAACAGAAGATTATCTTTGGCTGAAGGTAATCAGCTTTCCTTCAAAATTTTTGAGCTGCCATTGTTTGTTGGTATTTATTTTTCTTCCTCCTCATATAAACTTAAAGCACTAACTGAAGATGGCCCTATCTCACAAGGTGATGGGTTTTAAACAAAAAAGACATTGGACTGAACCTGCTCCAATGCAGCACCTGTACAGTAGACGTCACTGCTCCAGGAGATCTCATACTTGTGCATTTAGGTATTGGATCAAGACCAATACTTTCTTTTCTCTTTCTGTTTGTTGTAATTCTGGAAAGTATGTCATCTGTTTCTGGATGTTTTCCTGTTCTGCTGAATCATTGTAGTTACTTTTATCAGCACATCATCAGGGTTCAACCATCATTCTAAGCCATGAGGCTATTGGTTAGATTTTGGCTTAATATATTACATGATTTCCCCTTGCTCCCTTGTGGTTTATAAACCGTTTTTATGGTTTCGCATATTCCATAACCCCTGCCATTTATGAATTAATCAGAAAAAACCTGGTTAAACTAGCCATGGTTTAGGATCATACAGGAACTACAGTGTCCATTTAGTTGATCTGTTCCCTGGATCTGTGTGGGTTGGGATGTTCTGACATCCAAAATATTGCTGGATGTACCCCATACAACCGGTCAAGGGTATATATAGCTTGCTTGATATTAATGCAGCCATTACGTTTTCAGGATTAGATTCATCTAATTAGCTCAAGGACAATGATACGGGATAGATTTTTAGAGATTAAGAGATTTTGTCTAGTGGCTTCTTCTCCAGGGTAAATGGTCAAGTGGATACATATATTATTTTCCACTGACTTAAAATTGATGTTCGTGAACAAAGTTTTAATTATTCTATTGATTGCAATGAAGTTACTCCTGTTTTCTTTATTTGGGTATCTGGTTATAAAATGGTAATTCTGTTTTACAGCAGACTACAGCAACTCAGTGAGGTAGAACCTTATTATTTCTATTTCAAAGATTACAGATTGAGGCTGAAAAAGTGTGCTTTGTCCCAGCCTATTCATTTTTGACTGAGGCATAATGTGAGATTCAAGCCCCCCTGTGTATTAGTGAAAAAACATCTCTTTAAAGCTTCATACTTAGGTCCATCATTGCTGTGGACTGCATCTTTGGTTTTTCGATGCATCCTTGGCTTCTGGAGAAAGACTGTATTGCATGCATCCATTGGGAAAGGAAGAGTGATGCAGAAGTTACTTTTTCCATCTTTTATCTAGCTGAACCAGGTTTGCTTTGATGATAACAGTTCCAGTGCACCACAAGACAGGTTGACTTTGTCCCAGTTCCAGAAGCAACTGCTTGAAGATTATGGTAAGTTCATCTAAAGACAGAACCTGGAGGTTTTTGAAAATAAAATTCAATTATGCAAAAAGGTGACCCCAGATCTTGAGTAGATCTGATGCTGGGATTTCTTAAAATGAGTTTGTCAAATAAATTGACACGTCATAACAAAGGAAACATTCTTGTACAACAATGGCATCTTGGCTTCAGTAGATAGTGAAGATCAGAAACTGGCAATTCATGACTTTTTCTTCAAAAGCCAGACTGATACCAATATCTAATGTTAGGAGTAATATTTAAGAAATGTTTATGATTCCATCTGCCTTCGAATGTTCTGCAGTTTTCCTGTTAAATCTGTCTGGCTATGAAGATGCTCTCTCGGGCTTCCAGAAGAGAGGAGAGAGATAAATCAAATAAAGAAAAATTCCTGGCACTCAGGAGAGGGCCTCCTCCTGCATTGCTCTGAGATTATGCTGTAGGGAAGTCAAAGTGCCTCTGTTACATCCAAATGTACATCGTTGAAAGAGTTTGATACTTGTGACACTGTTAATTTTAACCTGAGTGGTAAAGTTCTTATATTCTGCAGTTGTTCTTTTAAATACTGCTAGTTGGCTAGAGTGCTTTCCAGAGTAGAAAAGCAGAATACCAATAAAATAAACATTTAGCAATATTTCTGCTTGCCTGACATGTTGTGACAAGTGAAATCTGCATTCTTGAGTATCAGCTGTAAAATGTTCTCTCCCTTTCCTTGTGATTTTCTTCAGGTGAATCACATTTTGTGGTGAACCAGCAGCCGTTCCTCTACTTCCAAGTCTTGTTCCTGACCGCTCAGTTTGAAGCCGCCATTGCTTTCCTTTTCCGTACAGAACGCTTGCGTTGCCATGCTGTTCATGTTGCCTTGGTCCTTTTTGAACTGAAACTGCTGCTGAAATCTTCTGGGCAGAGTGCACAACTGTGTAAGTTTTGTTGGGCTGTCGGTCATGGCACCCTTCGAATCCTTCATGGATTAGATGGCAAACCATCTGAACTGTCATATGATAGACCTGAGGAAGAGCACAACGCTTTAAATAATTAGGCTGATGAATAACTTTCTTGTAAGTAGACCACTGGCATTCCAGTGACCTAAAGGGAGATGTTATGACCTCACAACCATGCATGAATTGTGTAGGATGGCTAATTTATAATCTTCTAAGGCAGAAGTGAGCAATGGACAGGTGACATATACCTGCCAGAATTCTGCAGCATTGCACTGCCAACTTTTGGCAGCATATTGAGTTTTCAATAATATATATTTTTTATTTTTTTAAATGAAGTGAAGCTCAATATACCTAATCTGATAAATGAATAAGATTAGGCTTACCCTACTTTTTTGTGAGATAAAATAAGGGCTGAAAAATCGGGGGATATGTCCCTTCCAGTGACGTCCCTCTTTCATCAGCATTTCTTTTCTTAAGAGGCATGACTCCTGGGTTTAAAAAATAGCTGTCCACAGAGTGACTTATGGGAGCAGTTCATGGATCAGACTAATCCAGTATTTTGTTCTTATTCTTGGCTTACTGAAAGCACCTCTAAGAATTATGATACAGTGGCCTCTTGCTAACAACAGTATATTGCCTGTCAATGAAAGTTTTGTTTTTGGTTTTCTCGGCTAATCCCATTAACAGCTGTTGCAGTTATAAAAGTCACCAGTACTGGTGATTGTCACCACATTGTGGCAGGCAGCATATCCACAGTTGAAAAAAATAAATGAACATCAGGAGAATGAGCTTACTGTCCTGCTTTCATGTGTGGGAGAAGATATGAACCTTCAAATCTTGTGAGCCCTAAATCTAAGAGCACTTTTTTTCCTCCCTCCCAGTAATTAAGCCCTGTCTGGTATTTGAAGTCTTAAAAACAAAAAATCTAAAAAGTTGAAAGTGACAGAACTCACTTGCTTTCCCAGTAAACATTTTATCAGAAGCTGGAAGTTAGATTGACATGTCACAACCAATGTGATTAGAGGCTATTGTTACTTTCCTGGTTGTATTGTTTTCTTACTATATTTCGTTATTTAAAATTGATGAAATTCCATAAACTCTGGAAGATGTCTACAGGATCTAGCTGTCTTGCTGCTACTACTAAATCCTTTTCTGATTTAGAATTTTTTTTCTCTCCTCTACTTTTCTGTGGGTACCATGTTTAGGTGGAACATGGAGAAAATGCAGGACAGCCACTTGGTTAACATTTAGACAAACAAATTGACATTTATTTGTTAACTTAAAAAGGTTTCCAAACAGGTTCATTTGATTCTACAGTCAGTCAGTACTTGCCTAGCCCTATCTCCCTGATAAAGATATTCCTAGACTAGGACTCTGGGCTGTCTTAGACCTATCCTTCCAGCTACACCTCCTAAATCTCTCTCCCTCCATCCTTCTGGAATTTAAACTGGAAGGATGTGCCTCAGGTTGCCATGCTTTGATTGGCACTTCAGCTACCCAATCATCAGAGAGGGATATCTAGGTTTTGTAGAACCTGATGGTAGAAATCTGCACAGCAAAATCAGAATCTCTGTCTTACTGTCTTCCTAGTAGCTTTTCTCATCGGAAGTTGTCAAATTAAGGCCCTTGGGGAGGTTTTCAAGTAGCTTATGATGGCGATATCCATCTTTGCCTTCTGAATCTCTGGGAACTCGAAGCGGATTGCTTCTAAATGTAGATTTTGCCCTTCTGGGCACCCATCATTCTTTCTTGAGCAATATGATGCTGTTGCATAATATTTTGTCTCATCACGTTCCAGTGAGCCATGAGGCTGGTGACCCTCCAGCCATCCGGCGCTTGAATTTTGTTCGACTCCTGATGCTGTACACCCGCAAGTTTGAGTCTACAGACCCCCGTGAAGCTTTGCAGTACTTCTATTTTCTCAGGTTGGCTCCTGCAGTTCTTAAGTGAAAGGCTGTTCATGATTTGAATGACTGCAGTGGCAAAATGGAATCTGCAGTACTGACTGCTTTGTGATCTTTGGTTCAGGAACGAGAAGGACAGCCAAGGTGAAAACATGTTCCTGCGCTGTGTGAGCGAGCTGGTGATTGAAAGCCGAGAGGTACGCAGGGATAATCTGGTTCCTTTCCTCCCATAGGTTGGAATTCCTCCTTCTTCAAAAGAGAGTCCTAGTCTGCAGCTGAGAATCTCACACTGTGTCCTAGGGAACCCTGATGCTCCTGACTAGAGGGGCCTCTGAGGGAAATCAGTACTGGCAGATCATCTTCTCTGAAAGGCAGCTTCCCATTGTTGCTGCTACTAATTCTAGCCTTAAGAGCCATGCTGCAAGGCACTGGGGATCCGTTCCTGTGTGGGGATTTTCTTTGAGGGTGGGAACAGAGCCTCATATGTTTTTATTTATTTTTATTTATTTATTAAATTTCTCCCTGCCCATCTCTCCCCAATGGGGGACTCTGGGCGGTTCACACAAAACATTAAAACCATAAATACATATAAATACATAAAACGTAAAAATTTAAAAAACTATCAATATGCAGGAAGTCCCCTGAAGATACAACATCTGAACATCCTGTTTGCTGTCACCTGAAAGTTGCATGTAGTGACGTTTTTTCATTCCCTATCTAGAATGCATGTTGAGAGATGGGTCACACTTGCCCAGGCCTTAGCGAGGGTGATTGAAGGCCCCTTGGGGTCCATTTCTTTTTTTCATTCCCGTCCAATTTTTGCCATCTTTTATTCTTGTCTACTCTTGTTTTTCATTTTGCTTCTGAACTCTCCAGAGTCATTGGGAAAGTCAGGAGTATATGAATTTAATACATCATACGTACATAACATTTAGAAGTGCCACATGTTTCCCTTTTCCAGCCAGAAACAAGAGAAGGGAAGTGGCAAGGAAGATCATGTCTCTCTTCCTACACCTTTCTTGGTGAAGCCCAGCATTTTCCACATTAAACATCCTTCCTAAAAGCATGTCTTCCAACAAGGGGAAGATTGTATAAAGCTGAAAGGAGTGACACTCCTCAGACCTTTTTTAGACAGAAAGTCTGCCCCACAGAAATTCTCTGTATAAGCACTCTGAATATGGCTATTTGCAAAATCTTCCCATTTTTCTGCAAATGACGCAGACATTTAACCACTCACAGGATCCATCTAGGAGTTCAAACAAATGCCTGCTTGCTGTGTGTGCACATAGACATGTATACATGTAAATATGAATACATATGCAAACATAATTATATGTAAACATATGCTCACCTGCATAGATGTGATCCAATAAACAGCCACAGCAGCACTATGTTTGTCCCTATATAGTCATCTGAGGTTGAGTTGGAATTGAGGATGTTCTTGTGGGTGTACTGGGTGTGTGATTCCTAGTGAGAGAAATTGTAGGTAAAGTGAGTGATAAACCCAAAGTAAGTCCTTTTGATTAAATGTTGCAACTGTGAGTAGTAACCCTGGGTTTCAAAGTTGTTAAAGTTGTCTCCTTAACTCCTGTGTTATAATCTGACCCTTTTAAAGAAACGTTAGTATGCAGCTGGTGCCATTCAAATCTTGGTCATTCATAACAATCTTGGGAATACCGCAATATCTTTCCTAACTCTGTTTTTGTTTTCTCTTGTGTGGATAGTTTGACATGATTCTTGGAAAATTGGAGAATGATGGCAGTAGAAAGGTAAGTTCATCTACAGATCTCCAAATGAAATTGAATGTTGAGTTTTGTTGTTTAGTCGTAAAGTCGTGTCCGACTCTTC